GGCGTGACCGCCGAATGCGTGGCGCTTGTATCAACTGCGGAGAGTACGGACACACACAGTGGAAGTGTCAGAACGCTAAGGTTACGCAAAAGGTTGCTCCAAAAGTAGGGACAACCTATTCCCAGGCCTCTAGCTCGGGAAACGCGTAGGGCCAGTGGAAGTAGTAGCGGCTTCTACTCAAGATGAAGTGGGAATGATACCCTCCTCACTTCATGACAAGGTCGGTGCTAATGACTCCTTAGTCACCCCGCAGACACAACTAGACCAAACTATGCTCTGTATGTTAGATGTGTCTGAGGCCTTAGAAGACTTAGAAGGCGAGTGGTCAAACAAGGACCCTCGCGAGTCTTGGGGGGCGCTAAAGAAGGGTCCTAGAGGGGAACATTTCGTGGTGGAAGTGGATGTAGGAGGCTGCAAATGTGGAGCCTTCATAGACAACGGATCCACGCGAAATTACATAAGTCGTGATTGTTTGGAAAGGCTGCACCTACAGGACCGGGTACGGCACCTTAGTAGACCAATAGCATCTACTTTGGCCAACAAAGAGCGCATGATTGTCACAGCCTACATCAAGGACATAGTCTGTACCTTCTCCTATGGAGGAGGAGAGCTTAACCATAAGATCTCGTTCTTGGTTAGCGACGACTTGCCATTCGAAATGTTGCTAGGCATGTACTACCTCGAAGTTGCTAAGCCCCAGTTCGACTGGGATAAGAAGGTGCTCAAGCAAAAGTTGCCCGATGGCCGAACTCTCAGATTACTAAGTTCAAGGCCAGCAGTATAGTAGATACCTATGGCTGCTTGTGTGCATCAGCGTTCTACAATTACTATAAACAGAACCAAGAGGAGGGTATGTACCTTGTTTATGTCTCTGAGAAGGGGGAGGCCGTTAAAACACCCCCAGAGATGGAACGCGTCGTTGCTAAGTTCCCTGATCTATTCGAGGAGCCCTCAGGAGTTGCTGATAGGGAAGTCGTCCACGCTATAGAAATCATTCCAGGGAGTAAGACCCCAAAGGGAAGGATCTATAAGATGGCCCCTGCCGAGCTAGATGAACTTCGGAAGCAACTAAAGGAGCTGACAGAGAAGGGTTGGATTCAGCCTAGTACTTCCCCTTACGGATCACCCGTTATATTCGTACCGAAGAAGGGGGGTACTTCGAGGATGTGCATTGATTATAGGGGCCTCAATGCCATCACGGTGAAAAACGCAGAGCCTCTACCTCGCATAAACGACCTATTGGATAGGGTGCAGGGATGCAAGTACTATAGTAAGATAGACTTGAAATCTGGATATCACCAGATCGCAATAAGACCCGAGGACCAACACAAGACATCTTTTCAGACTAGATACGGTCTGTATGAGTTTGTATTGATGTCTTTCGGTCTTTGCAATGCGCCGGGTACATTCCAGCACGCTATGAATCGGATCTTCCATGACCATTTAGATAAGTTTGTCGTGGTCTACCTAGACGACATTCTGATCTTTAGTAAGTCTGCCGAGGAGCATAAACAGCATGTTGAGACGGTACTTTCACTCCTTCGGCAGCACAAGTATAAGGTCAACTTAGAGAAGTGCGAGTTTGGCCGCACTAAGATACTATACTTGGGTCATGAAGTATCCGCGGAAGGGATTAGGCCGGAAGATGCGAAGGTGGCTAGTATTCGAGACTGGCCACGACCTCAGACAGTCACTGAGGTCAGATCTTTCTTAGGAATGTGTGACTACTATAGGAACTTCGTAAAGAACTATTCTACAGTCGCATCTCCTTTGACAGATCTAACTCGACTTGACACGCCGTGGGACTGGAGTGATGAGTGCGAAGGTGCTTTCAAGCGATTGAAGCATGCACTCATGAATCATGAAGTTCTCATGGTTCCTGATCCGCAGAAGCCGTTCATAGTAACCACTGACGCAAGCCAATACGGCATTGGCGCAGTGCTGGCTCAGCAGGATGGGAAAAAGTTGAGACCGATTGAGTACATGAGTAAGAAGATGCCATCGAAGAA